AAAATACACACATAATCAATATTGTCAAATTAGTTAGAAGGTGAAATATCAGGGTCTTCCAAGTTTGAAAAAAAAATAAACAAACAAATTGCTGCATCTAAAATATATCAAATTACTCTGTCTAATATATGGTTTGTTTTTGGAGACAGTAGAACAATATTAGAGCTGAAAGAAATGTGCTAAAGGCTAACTTAGTAGTATATTATTCAGCTCTGTCTAACTCATATTCAGTATTTTGAAAACTTGCTTCTAAGTGATCCTGCATCATTTAATTTTCCCCATAAATCTATAATCACATTATTTTAATTTCCATTTAATTGACAAGTAGGAAGAAACAAACTAAAAATATTTAGTTCAACAAAAAAGTGTATTGCTCAAGATTATTGAGTAAAAGTTTTAGATTAGTTTTGATATTTAAATGTAATATTAAAGATGTAAATACATATATATGCATATATTTTATATATGAATATGTTTTCGTAGAAATCAAAATTGTTTACTTGACACTTTAAACCTTAACTTTAAAATTGTGTACATATTTTTAAGAAAAGTTCCCTGCATGGGAGGATAATGTGGCCCTCAGAAGAGAGATATGAAATGAAACTCTCAGTGCCAGGCACAGGAAATCCCTCATGTATTATTTATTAATAAGTTATTAGAGACACAAAAACAACTAGGCTATTTTTATTATTATTGGTTACCTGTCATAATTACATTGTATGATCCTGTTGCTGGAGACACTTCACACTTGGGTTGCAGAACGTAGAAAATCCAAACTGGACACACAAGGAAATGTCTTATTGCCTGGTGTATATATTGCAGGAACTGCTATACATAACACATACTTTATCTTTAATACTTTCTTTGTTTTTCCTTAAGTCTGAGTAAGATTTACGTGACTTAATCACTAATAAGATCATATTCAGCATCTGTCTAAAAGCAGAACCACATGCTTTCCAACGGGTCTATGCTGCCACAGAGCATGGGGTGAACTGAACTGCTTATATAAATCCATACATACCTAGTTAAAGAGCTTTGACGAAGGGCTTTAAATGATTATATATGATGAGTTGTTAACTATGCCTAACTCTTAAGATTTCTGTGAGTAAAACAAAATACTACAGCAGCATGAATTTTTAAAATGAACTGTTATTCCCCTTACCATTGGAACATTCATCTTGTCATTGAAGTATGTGTATCAGGGATCATGAGTGACAAACTCTTCTACAGAAGATGCTTCTTCTCCAGCAATGGTCTTCTTTAACACTAGGAACAGCAGGAGATGATGCAGGCAAAGATGCACAGTGTAGAAGTTTTTGATCTATGCTGTGCTCAAAATAACTGACAACAGAACTGCAGCCTATTGTCTTGGGATCATCTGGAGATGGCAAGTGATGGGCTGAGATCTTCATACACAGAAGATTGTGGTGGACAGCACCCAAAAATATGACCACATTCATATCGACAATGCAATGAATCCACATAAGCCATTTTCATGAAATTTGGATATTTATAGAAATCTTTAGCAATATTACCACCACTCTTCATTAAATACTTTTATTCCAGGTCCATTCATTCCATTTTCACAACCCAGTGAAAATCAAACCTTGTATCCTCATTTGGACATAAATTTCTTGAGAAGTTAATTCCCTTATGGCTCCTCTTTCCTGTTGTGTGATACTTTGTTTGTGTTCTGACAAATAAAGCTAGCCTGGAGATCAAGGGGCAGAGCTAGCCACTAGTTAACCACAGAGACCAGACAGTGGTGGCATACACCTTTAATCCCAGCACTTGAGAGAAGGAAGCAGGAAGATCAAGAGTTCAAGGCCACCCTAGGCTACATGAGATTGAACCTGTCTAAAAGAGAAACAGAGCTGAGTGGTGGTGGTGCATTCTTTTAATCCCAGCTCTAGGGAGGTGGAGACAGGAATATAAGGTGTGTGAAGACAGGATCTTGGCCCTCATTGGGTCTGAGGATTTGTAGAAGTAAGTTTCTAGTGGCTGCTGCTCTGCTTCTCTGATCTTTCAGGCAAGCTTTCTTTGTCAGAACTCAAACAAGCTATCACACAACACTTTCTATTCATAGTGTTGGTGTTTAAAGACATGTTTGTCTGCATTAGAGTTAGAGAAACTAGTTCATAGTGTTTCCCAAAACTCAATGAAGATCAGCAGGAAGTTATAGTAAGACAGTATTTTGGAGTGCATGAGGAACAATGGCACTAATTGAAACAAATAGGAACTCGTACTAGAAGTGGAGGAGACTGCAAAATTGGTAATACAAAAGGATTTCACCAACAGGTTTTCATGGGGAAATGAATGGAAGTTGGAGCAGTCAGTCAATTTTGTGTTATAATTTCCAAAACTTTAACTGTGGTGAGTCTTTCTCTATTATTTACTATAGTTTAGGGCATGGTAAAATTGTTACTGTATAAATGTGTCATTGAACAGAAACATTATTAACCATATCACCTCCCCTTATATCTGTCCATCAAAGTCAGTGAGAAGACTGTACTTTATTTTTTGAATTTAAAAATTTTAATTCAAATTATTTTGCTTTTTGTACTGAAAAAATTCATATAATGTATTCTGATTATGCTTCTGTCTTCCCCCAACTCCTCCCAGATTCTCCTCACCTCCTTACTCATTCAACTCCATGATTTTTTTCTCTCCTTCTTTAAAAAACAAACAGCAATAACAAATGACCAGGAACACACACACACACACACACACACACACACACACACACACACACACAAACCTACAATCCAAACCATACAATCAAAAGACCAATAAGACAAAGCAAAATGCCCAAACATAACAGTATGAAACAAAAAGTCTACAAAAATATCATTGAGTTTGTTTTCTGTTGGCCATCTTCCTCCTGAGTGTTGAGCATACCTTAAGTGTGATTAATATACCCAGTGAGATTCCATTGAAGTAGACTAAACTTTCTGTTGCCAGTTGAGTATCAACTATAGATAACATCATAGTTAAGAATGGGTTTCTGTGTCCATGTCCCCACTCAATGCTGGGACCCCATCTGAGTTGAACCTATGGAGGCCTTGTATAAGCTATCACGATCTCAAATGAGCTCATATGTGCATCAGTCCCACTGTGTTTGGAGGCTACCGTTTTCTTGGAGTCATCTATCACTTCTTGCTCTTATAATCTTTCTGACTCCTCTTCCACATAGGTCCCTGAACTCTAAGAGATGAATTTGAAGAAGACATCCTATTTAGGAGTGAGTGCTCCAAAGTCCCCCACTCATACCAGTTTGGGGGTATGTATTTCTTTCCATTTTCTGCAAGAAGACTTTACTTATAAAACAACTTCTATTTCCGTTTTGCCTTGGGGGTTGAGACGTACTATGTTTGTAGGAGGCTATTTTTAGAGGCTCTTGGTTGGATATGAACTGCTCAGAAATTATTGAGCCCAAGTCTAAATATTTAAAGGGAACCTTCCTTGAAAAAGGAATTTTACTAGTAAAATAATGTCTATAAGATGATTAATTTAAAATTGTATTTTGTAGACCATCAGAATACATGTGTATTATGTTTTCTTTTGGTCTGGTTTTTGTTGGTTTTAAGCCACTTGTAATTTTACTGTCTTAAGGAATATGCTAGCGCAAAGACCACAGAATTTTTAAAAAGCAATTTTCTTCTTAATTAAAGGTTATTATATCACTTACCTTTTTTCCTTCCTGTCCCTCCCATAAACTCCAATCCCTCTCAAATTGATTGCTTTCTTTATTTGATTACTATTGTTTTACATACATACACACACATATACATATACAAATATATATACAATTCATTAAGTCCATTTTGTTGTTTGTATGTATTTTAGGGCTTATGACTTTTTATTAGATAATTTGGATCAACTTGGGAAAGGCTAGTTCTCTCTTTTTCAGCAGTTATTAGTCACCTGTCATTCTTTGTCTAGGGATGAGAATCATATTTTTACACTTTCAAGTTAGCATGTCTATTCCATGTTAGCATATTTATTGATACTGTAATTGTTCAGGTCTTGTTCACTCAGTCATTTCTAGGAGATACAGTCTCACAACAGACTTTAAGATATTCTGGCTCATAAATCTTTCCATCCCCTTTTTTTGCAATGTTCCCTGAGCCTTTTGGGCAGGAGCTGTGTTGTAGATTTAGCTGTTGGAGCTGGGATTTCCATGGTCTGAAATCATGTCTGGTATTGGAAATCTGGCCAACTGTCTGGAGCTAGTGAGGTCATTGGTCTTAGAAGAGGACACACTGCCACCACCAGACAAGCATGCTTCCTAATTACGTTCTAAAAAGTATCCATATGCCCAGAGATAAGTGCAGTTCTCACGCCTCCTCAAAGACTGTTCTACTTTCAGCAAGCAGAGGCCATTCCAGAAAACCACAACCGAACACAAAGAAGACACCCAAAGATTTAAACCTGTATAGCTTACAAAATTTCAAGAGAATTGGGATTATTTAGTTTAAACAGAAGTTTCAAGATTCAGATTTTTTTTATATAAAAAAAAGACGTACTCCATATGACAGATTGAAAAACACTAGTTACACAAGAAATACTTAAGAAGAAAAGTGCGGTCTGGTGGGTGGGGCCTCCTTTGCATTGTCTATGTTGAAAGAGAGGCTACATCTGAGATGCTGTCTATGACCTAGAGGCATTGTTGCCCCACTGAAGTTTCATGCAATGGCTTTTGATTCCATGATAGTCTGTTGGGTTTAAGTTCATAGAAATTCAATTACTACCAACTTTCATTGTTTTAAATAAAAATATGCCTATTTTTTCTTTCTATATTCTCTGAATATATATCAAGCAGTACATTCTCTTGAAGACCTATTTTCAGATGCTGGAAAACTACATAGTTTTAGACTGAGATCAAAATATTCAGGCAGCACACCAGGGTCCCCGGAGCTTTCTGCACCTGAAAAGAAGAAAAGGAAAATCCAAACACTTTATTAGCAACTGTACACTCTTCTTCGAAGGCATAGGCTTACCCTGCTGTGTTCCCATCACTTAGTCTTCCCTCCTCCAGGGAGACACTCAAAGCCAAGCTCATCAGGGCTGCAAAGCAGTCTGTGAAGGAACAAAGCATCCGTGGTTAATGAACTGGTCTAGCAGGACTACCCTGCTAATGGGAAACTGGTCCTCTAACAGTCAGGTGAAATGTGCTGCTTGTCCTTGCAGACCCCTTTTTATTTTATTTTTTAAATAGAGAAGGAAAATCTGCTGTTAGAACCACTATAATTGTGTAACATTGGAATTGACCCAAATGTTCTGCAATCAGCAAGAATTCCACAGTGTACATATATTTTTTCCCCATTTCCCTTTGCTCAGGGTAATTTTACTCCCTTCAAATTATTCACACCTGAAAGAAGAAGTAAAGAAGGCATCCTGAATGATATGGCATAATGAGTTATTTAGTATTTCACCTTAAGAAGGGCTTGACTGGGAAAACATGAACCTTCGGTTTTATTGGAAAGAACTGCAAAGACTCAACTCAGCCCTTCATGCTTTCTATAAAAATACACTCATTACATTGTGTAATTAACCTCACCTTGGTTCTGCCATTGATGTCTATTGTCTTATCAACATCAGTTAGTTTTTTAATGGAAGACTCCCAGGCCCTACTGTGGCCCCTTTGATCTTTAAGATGTGTGACCCTTTGATATCATTCCATAAAATTGTACCTTCATGATAAATGTTTCAAGTCTACACCAATCATTTTTGATCTTTATAGAGGTCTATATTTCCTATTTTTGTTTTTTGTTTGTTTGCTTGTTTCTTCCCTGAGTTGTCCTTCAAATATCTAGTAAATTGTGACATGATAACAATCCAACTTTCTTTCTGGAACAGTCACAGCCTGCATCATCATCAGTACAGGGATCTCAGATTCTACTATTTCCAGACATGGACACCTCAGTATGCTTCTTACCACTGTAATGTAAATGGAAGAGTTTCTTCTTATCAGTGGAGATTACATTCTAGATACTTAATGGATGCCTGAAATCATGAATAGCACTTTACCCTTACATACACTGTTTTTTTCCCTTTACATGCACATGCTAAAGTTTAATTATTGTGAATTATGTACAGTAAGAGATTAGAATAATGAATAATAATATTTAACAATTCTAACAAATTACTATAATAAACATTATGTCAGTGTATCTCTTAGTATGGTTGTCAATTTCACTGAATCTAGAATCAACTAAGCTGCCAGTTGCTGTGCACTTCTGTGACAGTCTTTCATGATCAAAATATTTGAAGTAAAAAGACCACCCTAAATGGATGTGGCACCTTCTGGTGGTCACTCAGACAAAAGGGCATGGAAGAAGAAAGTTATACATTTTACTTTTTGTCTTCACTCTTGCAGGGAAGTTCATGTATCCTTTTGCTATGACATTTCTTCATAGTTATAACCAATTTCTTTAAGCTTGCAACAGACTGAAGACCAGCAGGTCTCCAAGAACCCTCCAGGTCCTCAGTCCTAAATTGGAACTACTGATATATCTAAACTTGCACCTAATTTCACTTGATTCTTTACTTTTTGTCACTGTAAATCTCTTCCATTACTAGTTTGCATTTTGGGCCAAGTTAAAGTGGAGATTTTTTCATAGAGAAATCTCACTTGGCTTTGAATAATTTACTAAATATCTTCGCAAAATATTGTAATATTACACCTTGGTATAACCAAAAGAGACAGAGAGAGCTGACGTATGCAGAACTGTCTAAGTACAGAGGCAGATGAACTAGAGGGCCATACTATTACCTCCAATTCCAAGAGGTGGAAGGAGTTTTCATCCATTGATTTTTAGAGACCAGTTTTGAGGAGGTTTCCAACTAAAGTGTCCTTTATTCTCCTATAGTTCATTTATTGGTAGGAGAATCATGGTAGCTAAACCATACCTTCATTTTCAATTATCCACCCTACTATTTATTGAACATAATATTTCAGTTTAGGCTATAACTGGCTCTCACCACATCCTGAAGACGGCAATTCTTCCTTGCAAGTAGATTCATTGAATGACTTCTGATTCTTGGGATTTACCTTGATAAATTATCAAACTTATCCTCCAATTAGTATTCCTGATGCAGAGCATAAGAAGGAAGCCACAGGCTGGTTTAGATGGAGTGCAGACACTTTTCTTAATCTTTAGAATAGCGTTCTTGCCCATGTACTTCTCTCATTCTAAGAGCTCCATCTAGGTAATTTGGAGTAGATTAATTTTTTTAGATTCCTGGCATTGATGAGCATCCAGTTTCTATCCAAAGGCCTTAACACTCTGTCAAATGATATACTGGTTTTAGGGTATGTGCTGTGTAACTTCTCATTGGAATATGTGTACAAATATATTAACTAAAAGCAGAGTTTTATTACAGTTTAGTGTTTTGCGGGGGCTAGTTTTATTTTGTTTTCTTGGTTCTGGGGTTTTTTGTTGTACTGTTTGAGTTTTTGTTTGTTTTTTGAGAAAGAACTTAAAGTTGATGGGCAGTGAGGGGGAGAAGATCTGGAAGGACTTGCAGGAGAAGAAGAATTAGATCAAAATATATTTAAATTCACAAATTGTTTTTAATAATAATAATAATAATAATAATAATAATAATAATAATAATGGATCAGTGAAGTGATTCCAATTAAGTTCAGCTTAGTAAATGTCCGAGTTCATTTTCCTGTTTGCACTAGAATCATTTCATTGATTGTGGAAGTAAACAGAAGGATTAAATAACAACAGCAACTAACGCAACCACCACCAGAAGGCAAATCCTGTCTAAAGAATTGTGGCTATATTCATCTCAGGTGAAGGCACTCAGGACTGCAGATCTGGAGGTCATACACATTTTCATATAGCTATGTCCTATGTATTTAAAGGTGCCGATAGCATAAATACATTTGTTAACTGTATGGAGCATGCAGAACAAACAGTATCTTCCTCTCAAGTCCAAAAGGACTGCATGGTGATAGCAATAAATTAACAAGGCAAGTCGTTTTTATTTGACTGGGATACATTTAGTTTTCACTATATCAGTTGGAGACAAGCAAACAAAACTTCAAATAGACATTACAGAGGTGCCTTACCAGTTAAAATGTCACAGCAGTGAGCAGGAGGTGTCTCCCGGGGAAGCAGATCTCAGAGGAGAGCTCCTGAGGAAGAGGGTTTGACTCGCGCTGTTTCTGTATTTCACCAGACAGGATGTGTCTGCAGAGCTGTGACAAAGAAGTAGAAAATAGTATATGTGTAAAACATTGAGCCACTCAGATTTCTTCCTTTTACAAATGAACTGTTAACTTCCTTCTTTTTATAAACTCTGCAGCTTGTAGAAACAGAAATTATAAAATCAAGTAATCATCATATAATGAAATTGACTCACTAGAATCTATGTCATCATAGATCTAAAAACTAAATTCAGCGGATTTACTGAAATTAATGTGAAATTTTTATTTCATAGTTCTAGCCCAAAACACATTTTCAGCTAATGTATTGCTCTTAGTTTAAGGACAACTTTTTCCTTCTGCAGATAATGTCGCTTAGTGAGAATAAGCATTCATAGTAAGGACTATGAGGCCCCGTGAGCTGTGCAAACATCAAAGACATTTCAGTCATGTTTGATGTTTTCTCCTTACAAAGGCAGACAATTTGACTGTTTCTTTTTAGAAGGGTTATAGACCATAGGTTATAGTTTACCTTAAACAAAAGAAAGTGTTAAATCTTTTATAACAGTGAATAGAGTTTAGCCTGATGTAGATTTCATGTAAAGACAATATACTCTGCATATCATTAGTGTGTGTTTGTGTGTACATGAACATGTCTCTAAATATTTGCATGAGAGTTTCAGATGAAGATCTTTGTAGGGTGTCATGATTGCCAAAACTTGCTGAAAGTTTTAATTTGATATTCTCCTGGGGGACAGCTAGCAATCGTCTGATGGTCAAAAGGCATAAAGTTGGTACTTAGATGTTATCTTTTTTTTTCTGCATCCCCGGTGTGAATGATTCTTCCTTTAGGTCTCTGTATGAGAAACAGTGTATTTCTGTTTGGTCATTCTTTCCCCATCCAGAGGAGTCCCACCCTTTCCTTATCTGCGTCTGCCCTTCTTGCCCTACGCATTTGTCTTCATGACCCATTTCATTAAATGATACATTAGGTGTTTATCTTTCTGCCCAGCACTCATATATTAAAATGAATGATCAGAAGAGCAAGGACATTCTGTGTTTTATTCATTTATGTCCTCAGTACCTCTACTAGGGCTCAGAACAGTTGAATTCAATAAATATTTTTTCTCCGAATTAATAAACTTAGAGAGTAAATGAGGCCAGTCACCTGCTCAGACAGTGTCTCGAGTCATCTTTTATTATGACTGTAGCAGTCTCCCTGGGATTTCTAAGAGGTGATTTAAGCTTTCTGGTTCTACTTGAATGCATTTTATGAGGGAAAATATAAGGCACAATGGTGCCTCAGAAATCTGTGAAGTCCTGAATATCAAGATATTTCTAAAATAATGGTCTGCTTTTGTAACATTTTTATTTTTTCTTGCCCAGTAAAATATGCACACATATATGCATATATAGATGTATGTTATCCAAATATTACCCTAAAATTTTAATGCTGAATTATTTGTTAACTAAATTCATAGTCATTTTCTTTTTTAAACTTATCCAATATTTATTTCTGCTACCCTTTCATTCTTGCACAAACTGAACTTTTAATACTATATGTTAAATTGATCTAATATGAAATCCAGTTTAATTATTAAATTTAGTTCAATATTTAATTTGGTTTAATAAAAGTGATCTTGCATGTAATATATGCATTTAATTGATATATTTAGGACAGGGCAATTTTGAATAGGTTAAATATTTAATGTAGAGTAATTTTTTAAATTATTCAGGATTAAAAATAGAATAGATCTATGTTATCAAAGTAGTATGCAGATAAATGTCATGATTTAATAAATTCCTGTTCACATTTGTGAGCTGAGATTACTTAACTTCTGATCACCAATCTGTCTTTGTCTACAGCCTATGAACCTATTATATTACAAAGGAAAGAAATTAAAGATCTTCAACATCATGTAATTTTTCTCCTTTCTCTTTGAGGTACATAATGGCAAAGTCATTTTGTCTGCCCTTTCTTCTTTTCTTACTTATTCTGGTACTTTTACTATATTGTGACTATTAGCATACCTTCCTTGCATTTTAGATTTAAGATGACTTAGTACCTCCTTTCTCTCATTTCTACCCTACACTTCTTTCTGAGATTGATGGGTGTCATTTTCCTAGCTACAGCTAACACTGTTCCTACGTAGGCATTTTCTAAGGCCACAGATAGCAGTTGGCTGCTTTAAGGTTACTTTTAATTCCTTTCCTTCTGTCACCTTCCTATTCCTCAAGTCCGGTTTTTCTCCCTTGTTGCCAAGTGATAGGTCAGCCTTCATCATTACCATTTCCTATGTGACTGATTGTCTCTTAAATTGTAGCCACTGTCGGTTTTTTCTCCTACAGAATGCATAAGCAGATGATGGCTGCATTTGTTCAGATGCACAGGTATATAAATGCATCCTCAGGCACAGGTGGCAGACAGGGTGCCTAGACGATACGGCCTATAATTCATCAGCTTTGACTTAATTCAGCTTACACTGATTAATATATACCTCCTCCATGATTGTGTGTTTATATCATGTAAAACACACACGGCTTTCTTCTAAATATTATTGATATTTAGAAATACAACTGATCTCTTGTTTTAAATATTATTTCTTTATTGGCTTAATTAAATGGTAAGAAAGCCCAGAAGGTCAGTAATCTTGCCCCCAGTAATAATAATTGATTTGTGGAACTCGAGTGACCCCCCCCAAGAATTCAGAGAAGCACTCAGTCAATGGCCAACAAAAAGCTGGTGTCTTAGTCTTTAGGTCATGAACAAATGCATTCTGCTAATAACCTAGAGAGATATGGATAGAATTCTCTTCTGGTCTCTAGATAAGATTATAAATCAAGTGATGCCTTGTACCTAGTAACACTCTGAAGCAGATTGCACAGTCATGATAGGCATATACTCCTGATCCACAGGAAGTCTGAGATGATGAATGTGTTGTTTTAAGTTATTTGAAAACACACACACACACACACACACACACACACACACACACACACACACACATAATTGAATTTCTTGCTGCACATTACAGTACATTTTCTCTTCCCCATATGGAAATCTCCCTCATATTTACCTGATTGTTTTAGGTTTCCTCAGCAAGTTTCAGAAACTGTAGGAAACATTCCATTTATCTCACACTAGGCCTTAGAAGTAACAATTGTGCATACACACAACTTTAAATACTATTGTCGAATAACTTGAAGTTTCTTCTATTTTCCTGTCATTGCTGCCTTAATTGGCTTGAGCTGCTGCAACAAAACACCATGTAGGGGGAGATTAACAAATTTTTTGTTGTTGTTCTGAAGGCTGAAGCCCCAATTCAAGCAATGTACAAGTATGTTAAGTTCTAGGGAGTTATCTCCTCCTGCATTGTGGATGACCATTTTATTGCTATGACTTTGCAGAGAGGAGAGAGGGAGAGAAGGGATACTTTCTGATATCTCACTTCATATGGTAATTGTTCCCATCATAAAGTACCCACTCCTCATAACTTCCTCTATGAGATTATAGTGAAATTGGGGGCCTCAATCCAATATGTACTATGATCCTTTCTGCTTTTTCTTCAGATAAGTCTGACTTGTGCCAGTTGCTTGTAATAAATTACCTTTAAAATGAAAATTCAGAGCTGACACAAAGCTTTTGGTAGCTATAAGGCAACTGTAAATTATGACATTTTCTTATTTTGAATGTATGAAATTAAAATATATATTAAATTTGTTATTTGAGAGGTTTTCATGCATGCGCATAAATTATTTTGTCATATTCCTAAACTTCACAGCTCTATTTTCCACAGACATCATCCAACGACATCTCTTCTCCATGTTACTGTTTTTTGTATTCTTCAGTGGGTCACTGTGTTCAACTTGTGATGTTTATATGTCATGGGTGCAGAGTCATCTGCATGAACTACCCACCAATAAGCTTACCTCCAAAGAGAAATGATTTTCCCCTCCAGTAAACTGCCAATAGTTCTTCAGACAGTGGTGGGGTCTCACGAGTCCTTCTGCCATCCAACCTGGAACTTTGATTGGCTTGAACTTGTGTGTGCAGGTCTTCTGCAGGTAACCACAATATTATGAGTTCATGAGTACAATTTCCTACAGAGTACAATCATCTACAGAGAAAGTACTCACCCTCTGGCTCTATCTACCCTATCTTAAATGATGTTTCTCAAGCATCATAGGAAGGAGATTAATATAGCTATCCTGCTTTTGGCTGAACACATACAGTGTTTTACTATTTTACTATTTATGAGTCTTTGCATTAACCACTATCCTCTGGGGGAAAAAAAGAAGAACCTGTGACTCAAGGTTGACAGCAACAAAAATACATGATTATGACATCAATATTTTGATTGCAGTTTGACAACACAATAGTACATTTCTTCTAAGGCCTATGGCCTCCTCAAGCGTGGAGTTTTGATCAAAGTTACAGTAGAAAGCATGGAATTGTTTCCTGTAGTACAATCCAAAAACATAATTGGAAAGCTGTTGGTTATTCCAGAACTATTATGCCGCTATTGCGTCAGTAAGCATGTCTTGCCTGATGAGTTGGTATTACAGCATGCATAACAGTGCCTGGTAAGACAACTGTTGCCTTTTTTTTTTCTTTACCAGTGGACTACACAAAAACTTCTGACACTGGGACAGTTGACCACTAGGAGGAAGTGGCATAGTCAATTTGAGAATGGTTTTTCTACCCCCTATAACCAACATGTGTTGCTTGTTCAGAAATGTGGTTGTTCCTGCCTATGGTGGGAAGCCAAGAGCACTATGAATGACCTTTGTGGTTTGGTGAACTTCTTGGGTCTGTCTGACCAGTAACTCAGAGAGAACCCATGCACAGCATGAGTATTATGTTTAATAACCCATACATTTTAATAGTATCACTTATATAATTGCAGAAAACCTGTGTTTAAACATTTTTTTCTTAACTTCTCACAATTTTTATTTAGCTTCCAAAGTAATGAGTTTTCAAAAGGCTTTTGTATCAGCCTTAGTTTTCAATAGCCTTGGCCCTTCTACCGAGTTTTCA